TCATTACTATTTCAACCAACTCTTTCACTAGTTCATCAGGATCCTCTTCTGTTGGAGCCTGTGAAAAACATTTTATTTAAAAGCCACAAATTCAAGGAGCAGCTTACAGGTCTATTCAGTTAATTTTTCTCAAAAAAATCTGATTTCAGTTTTTATCCTGTCTTTTTAAAGATTTGCATTGATTAAAAACGTCAATGAAAAAAAGTTCTATATAGATCTACAATGTAATTTTTATTATTTTCACTAATTTCAAAATAAACTTTTTCCATATAAATATTAATACCGGTATAAAATATGTTTATAAAATGATAAGCTACCAATATTAATAATACAATATTAAAGTAAAAGCAAACAATTTCAACTTACTTTTACTAAACATGATTTTAAGAGCTGAAACATTTCTTCTCTGACAATATAACCATCATTATTGAGATCATATACATCAAAGCACACTGAAAATATAAACATTAAAAAAAAGCCAGTAGGGAGTGAAGAACATCTTGTTTCTATCTATCATTGCATTACTGGTACCTGTACTGCTTTTTATATTTAAATATTTAGCTTTGTGGTACAGTGGAACCCCATCATAACGCACCCCAATATAATGCCCATTTGTTTATAATGTGATCCTGGCATTGTTCATAAAATTTTGTTTACAGGACTGTATTTATTTGCACATTAATTTTTTTCAAAGTGCATTATAAAAGGTATCATCCTTTTTATTGTTTTGTTTTTAGACATTTTTACATTATAAAACTTAGACTTTGATTTGAACTCCTTGAATGCAAGTGCCTAAAAAATAATTAATGAAAACCTACTTCAAATCTGTTTTATAAAAAATTCTGACTTTCCCCGCTGAGTACTTACGTTGGATATGATCATCAAGTGTGCCATTTAGAAATTTTGCAATCCCTATAACATAGTCCTCTTGCCTAAGTGTACCACAAGACTTTTTATCAAATGCTCTGAACACTGCAAAATATGGAATACCTGAGTGCATTCTGACATAAATTTTAGAGTATTTTGAAGAAAAAAAAAGGTATTATTCAAGTTTTTTCACTTTGGCATTAATCAAATATTAAAAATGTGTTCTCGGGGTCAAAATTAGATTCACTTTCTTTCTAATAGTCATAAAAATACAATAGACTTGCAAGGAGTTAAATTAACATTATTTTTTTAAAAATACATCAAGTCAAACCTCTATCCATCAAAATGTCATCTGTAATGTTGAAAAATCTGTTTAGCTCATCGCGAAATTCAACTCTGTTTAATTTTCCTTCCTCTTTTCTGCACAAGTCGTTAAATCTTTCCATTAAATGGTTGACTTCTTCCTTGGGCACTGTAATTATTATAATTATAATTTAAGGCTTAATACAGGTTCTATTAGCTGATACTCCGAGGTCAGAGAAAAATAGGGCTTTATTTCTAGCTCACCACAATTACCTGATTTCAAATTAAGTCAAAAGACTGAAAAAAACTAATAAATTTATTAAAAATTCAAAAAAATACATAACAATAAATTAAGCCTATACAAAGTTAATACTTATGCAACAAATATCAATACATTTAAAAGATAATCAGAATGATCAATTCATTGATGATGGGCCCTAAAAATATAGAAGAAGAAGATATTTTTTATTATCATATCCAATTAAGTACCTAAATTTATATAAAATTCGTTTTTTTTTATCACAAACTATATCAAGGGTCATGTGAATGAATAAAAATAATGGGAATCTCATACAAGGGCCATCCATAAATAATGTCCCGCGTTGAGGGGGGACAGGGTTCTAATTTTTGTGATGAGGGGGATGGGGTGGGAAAACAATGTGACGTCACATTAAAAGCTGAGAATTTGGGTAAAAAAATGCCCCTAAAGGGCCATCCATAAAAGACGTCCACCAATTTTTTGCTATTTTTTACCCCCCCCCCCTTTGTCCACTTTTGACTTGACAAATCCCCCCCCCCCCATTTTGGGGCCTGCAAAAAGTACAATTTCCCGAACCTAAAATAAGGGATAATTTGGGGAAATGTAAAAACATG